GCAGCAAATAGAGCCATTCGGCTAAGCCAGAAAACAACCAGCAAGCCAGCGAATGCATCCTTTGGGGAATGGATCCGCAAAACAGGAATTTCCACTTCCCCCAAACTAAGAACTAATGGCATCCCATCCCCATCCCCATCCGAAACAGCATCCGCATACACAGGATGCAGCTCAGCTCGAGGCACTCACGTAGCCCCGGCATATTTAATAAACTCTGGCAAATTAAGCGAGCGCCTGCAGGCGAGGGGGGACTCCATAAATCAACAGGTAAGAGAAGCAACCGTGGCATCCACCCAGCAGCCCCGGCACCGTGCAGTTCATTAACATTATCCTGAAATATGGAAAGGGACTTGAACTTTGTGCTTCGGGAAGAGAGGGTGGGGAGGGGGAAGGATGCACCAGAAAAGGGACTTAAGCCTACGATATCTAACGAGTATTTAAAGAGGATGAACTCTTTCGACTCCCGCCACCTGTTGAGCAGTGAAGAGAGGAGCAGCAGGAGGAGGAAACTGCAGTGTGCAGCTCCCTGGAAAAGTAATTTATTTTGGGAAAACTCCCGCAGGAAGCGCGATGGCAGCTAACTCCTAACTCCTAAGCACCACTGCCAGCCACATCCGGCGCAACTTTAAGCCGCATTTCCGCTCATGCAATTTTAATTTGTCAAATGCAAGCGACGGCAAAGCGAAGACGCTGCTAAAATTAACTGGAAAATTTTACAATCCACGCGAGGCAGAGCACCAGAATAACAGAGTAACAGACTGACTCTAGCAGAGAGAGAGAGACAGAGCAGAGCGCGACAGGATTACTACTTTCAGAGCAGACGAGGGACGAGGGACGGCTGGCAGCCGAAATGAGGATGCCGTCGAGCCACTCGAATTGGACCATTAGTTTCGACGGCATTAGTTTGGCGCTTTTCATGGCCCAGACGCGGCAGACAACGACGACGACGACGATGGCAACAAGAATAAATAAGAGACGAGCAGCGGGACGTAGATGTAGATGTGGAAGTAGGGGGCGAGTCCGGAGGCAGAGTGGACCGCGGACCGCGGACCGCGGACCATTGTCGATCCCTTGACGGAATTATGCATGTAATAAAATGCGGCGGCATCGACAGCAACTGCAACAGCCCGTGCCCGTGCCCTGCCACGCCCCAGTACACGCCCACTCCCGCCGCGAACTAAATTTAAGTGCATTAACATAAAAAGGTCCAGTGGCCACAGTGGAACGAGAGTTGTCATACATCTGAGATGCCCATCGATGGGAAAACTCGGGAAAATCGGTCAGAATATTCGAGAGAGAGAGCCAGAGGAAGAGTGCCTGCTAGAGTGTCATTTTTTCATGCTCTCCGGCATCAGTGTGCCTGCTTGGCCCGAAAAGATAAATAAACTTTTGTGTGCAACTGTTCTGAGAGGGCGGGTCGGGGGGAGGGACACTGTTAAATAGGGATAGGGGATGGGGGATGGGGAGCGTCCCACTCTGATGAGTGCAACGACTTGGCAGCACTAAGCGTCAGCATCATCGACACTTTTGGCAGGAAGCATTCGGTTCGGTGTGGGCCGAGCGCCAGACGTGGCACGCGACGTGGCACAGGAAGCTCTCGTCTGGCAGGGTGTCTCTCAGGGAGTCTCCAGGGGTGTGTGCATCCTGCATGTGCATGTGTGTGGCATGTGTGTGGCTGCATCCTGGTGCATGAACCATTAACAGACTCGTAAACTGGCAGTTGCTTGTTATGTTGATTACACAACCGAAAGGACTGAGAACGGGAGCGGTGGCAGGCAGGGTGCAGGCGCAAATGGAAATAAAGTTGAAAAGCCAAAAACTTGCACTTGAAATCCCGGACTTTTGGCAGAGGATCTTGGAGAGATGTGGAGGGAGGGGCCGGCGGCAGGCAGATGCAGTTTCCCGTTCAGTTTATTGCGGGATTCTGCTCCTCCATGCACGCAGGCAACAATTTACAGGCGCCCCGCGTAGGCCATCCCCAGAAAGGATCCCCCATCAGCACGTGCCAGGCAGCAGAGGGTCCTCCTGTCATGCCCCATCTTAGCCCCGAGGAAACCGTAGGAGATACAAACAAACAGCAGAAACTCTGCTTCCTATTCCTATTCCTCTGCTGCTGCTACTGCTGCTGTTGCTGCTGCTGCTGCTGTTGCAAGAGTTGAAAGTTGAATGTCTGGCAAATGCCGCGGCAATGCCCCCGAATGCAGCAGTCAGTGAAAATGCAATTCCCCCCATCCCTATCCCCTGGCCAACCCCATTTCCACCCACCACCCCCATTCCCCTACGAATCGAAGAACTTTTCACACGCAGCACAAAATCTGCCAAAGCCACTTTTCGGTATTGTTTTTTGTTGCTTTTCCAAATTTATTGCAACACTTTTCTGCCACTGCCACTGCCACTGCCACAGCTTCAGCTTTCCATTTCCCCTTATCTGCCAAGCGTCTGTCGTTCTGTCTGACTGTCTTTCTGTCTGTCAGTGGATATTTATCTGCCACGTTAAGTTTACTCTGGTCTCCCTCTGCCGCTGCTGCTACTGCTGTTGCAAGTTCTCCTGCTGCTGCTGCTGATGCTGATGCGATTCTTGGATCTTTTTCCTTGCGTTTCATAATTTTTCGCCTTGCGGCCAAATTGCCGTCTTTATTTGCAGCATGGAAATGCTGGAACGCAGTTTCCCATTTCCATTTCAATACACACCAGAAGGCGGGCAGAAGGGGGGGCATGCAGCAGTGGCAGGCAGCATCTCTCACGCGTAGCGAAAATGGTAAACGCTTCGAGATTTCTTTCACCCGCATGCGACATTTGACATTTGCGATTTTCCGCACATTTTGCGTACTTTATTGAACTGTTTGTCACATGGCGTTTGGTATTTTGTGAGCTTTGCCGGCAGCTGCCAGGGCAGCACACACATGTGGCTGCTGCTGGATGCTGACTCAAAGGGCTGACCCCATAGTTTCTCAATTACGAGAGAAAGGGGGGGAGAGAGAGGGAGAGCTCAGTGTCATCCAGCCATCATCTTTATCGATGGGAAGGACTGTGGCTAAGCAAAGCCATGTAAACTTTATGAAAATCAAATGGAAATAAAAGCGGACAGCACTCATAAACAATAATACGACGGAACACAGAGCGGAACAAGCTGTCCCCAAAGAAGGACAGCTTCCGTCAGAGAGGTGGCGGGGCAGGGAAAAGGAGCAACTTAATAAAAACAAAAATGTATGAAATACTTTTACGACTTTCGAAAACATTTTTACAACTTGCTGGCAAGTTTTTGCTAACGATATGAGCGCAAAAGACGAAGAGAGAGAGAGAGAGAGAGTTCTGTTGTGGAGAGTAGGAGCAGTCGGACAGCAGCAGATGCATTTGTAGGACCCGCCGTGTTCTGGTGTTCTGGTGTCCTGGTCAAATGGATACGTCGCATCATAAAACCGAAAGTCATTTCGCACAGAACGTGTCTAGCAAAGCCCGAGGGCCCGGGGAGAGTGGGCACGGGGCACGGGGCACGGGCCACGGTGTCCAGCCAAGAAGCCAAAGTCATCGCAGCCAATAATAATTCCAATTGTAGTACAGTGACAATTTTCTCCCACTTTCCTATTTTGGCTTTTTCCTTTTTTTTTTTTGGTCCAAAGATGCACCCGCACTTTTGGCCACTTTCGGGTACAATGTACCCTGAACAATGGTCAGCGCAGAAGGAGCCGCAGCAGCAGCAGCAGCAGTGGAGTTTTTATTGCCCAACGTTGGCGCATTTTAAGTGCACCATGGTAGCATGCAACACAAAACTTACAGACGCAACAGCGGAGCGGCAGTGGTAACATTATTTGGTCAATGTAGACGACATGACGCGGCCATTAAGAGCAACAAATAAGCAAACAATAACATGACGGGGAAGGGGGAAGGGGGAAAAGGGGATAAGTACTTAATGCTGCGGTCTATGTCCAAGCCATGGCTTTAATCATGGCTTGAAGGCTGCATGGCTTCATGCCACAACACACACAGAAATGTATCTAGTGATCGGGTCGGACCTTCTTTCAGATACTTTGGCTTATTAAAATTGATTGCAAATGAGCGCCGAAGGCTTTGCCAAGCACGATAGGTGATAGCTGGTAATGGATTGCCTGGGGTGTGGATTCTGACCAACAAAATATGGCCTTAATGGCAAAAATGGGCGAACTTGCGGACTTGCTACCTTGCCTGATTCCAACCAAAACCAAAACTAAAACCAAATGCCATGCCTAATCAGTGAAACATAATTTAGCGTGAGTTAGAGTTATAGTTTGGTTATAGTTATAGTTCTCCCTCCACTCTGCCGGATAGTAGACTGAATGGGATTCTTTGAGGAGACATAATTGAATCACAGCCTCAAAAGTTTTGTCGCCGAAGCGGAGGGGATGGAGAGATTGAACAGAGATTTCAGTTGTCTCCTGTCCCCTGTCCCCTGTCGCTCGCTCACTCATTCTCTCTCGCTGCCTGACCAATTCATTTAGTTTCGCAAAAGCTAATTAGCAACTAAAGTGAAATTAAAGCAGAGCCAGCGCCAGAGCCAGCGCCAGAGCCAGCGCCAGAGCCAGCGCCAGAGCCAGCGCCAAGTCACAGACTAATGGCCTTTGTCCCTCCACTCCAATCCCCGGGGGGAATGCCATTCGGATGGTGGGGTGGGAGTGGCAAAAGGGCGGGAGAGGTGCTACAACTAATTAAATGCAATAAGCCATGGCAACTGCTGCTGGACGTGGAACAGGTAATGTTCTCGGGCGAGTGACAACTTTGTTTTGATGCGCAGGATGCTCCTCTTCCGGTGCGACTCCTGTTCCTGTTCCTGCTCCTGCTCCTGCTCCTACTCCGGCTTCTGCTCCCCTCGCCCCACCACTCTGCTTTTTCGTGGCAGAAACTAACGAGGAACGCGCTTTAATTTGCACATTTAAGTAATTAGTTTAGCATTAGTTGGTCTCTGCCTGGCCGTTAGTTTTAATGAATCGCGAGTTGTTGGGACGTTGGACGCCATGTCCACTCACCGCTCTTAAAGGTGGCCATGAGGCGTTCAGAATCGGCTCCATGCTGGCAGACAAACAGCGAAGTGTCCAAAAGATCGTTGGGCGCATACCCCAGCAGGCCAAGCATCCTGAAACAGCAAAAAGAAATAGAGCGAGTTAAGCGGGAATTGCATTCGGAAATCATTGAGGGGGAATCTCACTTGTCATCCACGTAGGTGAAACGCATGTCCAGCGAGTGCTTGGTGAGGAAGGTGCTGGTGCCCAGGGGTATCTCGATGTTCGAGGGATGCGGAATGGGTCTCCCGATGGCTATGAGCACACGCTCGCCCTTGCCATTGACCACCAAGTGTCCCGTGATATGAATGACCTGCAGGGGGGTCACAGAGATTAGTCAGGGATCGTAGGGAGAGATTAGCCATGTTCTCGCACCTTGTAGGAGGCACTCTTGATGTTGATGCTGCGCCCGCGGCTGGTCAAAGTGCACTTCAAGCGCACAAACAGATCCCGGTGATAGGTGCTCACGCCAGACCCAGACCCAGACTCGAGCTGCTGCTCGTCCTTCACTGGGGTGCCGTGCCGCTTCTGGCTGAGCGCCTCCTTGATTTCCGCGTGGTCGCACTGATGCGAGTACTCCCAGATCGGCTGGCCAAGAGTGTCAATCTGCACAGATCGGAATGGTTATAGTAAGTACAGTAAAGTGAGGATCTACTTGCAGGACTCGCACCTTTGTGATGCCCAAGTACTCGACTACGTTCTCGGAGACGTAGGTGAAGTCGCCCTCGTGGGACAGCACCAGCAGGAACCCGTCCATGGTCTCCTTCAGCAGATGGCTGGCCTCCGTGGTGCCATTGAGCCACTCCTCGCCGCTCATCTCCAGCTTGGGCTTCACCTCATGCTCATCAACGTCCCGCTTGATTCCCGTTTGATGCTCTTTGCAGTCGCGCAAAGGAGGCACTGTAAAGAATGAATGTTCCATGAATGATTCAGTCAGGCAGAGCGCGGAGAAAGGACTTACCAAACTGCAGCATTTCGCGTATCTTCAGAAAGGCGATTGTGATGCGCATCACGGAGGCCTTGTCCAGCTGATTCACGTCGTCGTTCTTCAGGGGCAGGACTTGCGAGAGTTCCATAAAGATCTCCGTCTCCTTGGAGCGACGACAACGGGCCGCGTCGCGGGACTTCTCCTTGCGCTTCTCATTGTTCCTGAAAGGGAAGGGGAAAGGAGTACAGATGAGTACAGATCGTGATCACGTAGGCCACTCTTTGGAGAGCGAAGGAAGGGCATATGCGTGCATTTCAATTGCTGCATTTGATTGGATTTGATTCAATTGCCACGTCACAGCACAGCACACAGCACACAGCACAGCATTCGCAATTTTTCAATTGAGCAACAGAATTCGCATTTCTGCGAAGCCTCTCTTCGGTTGCCAGGCAGCAAAAGCGAAAGCGTTCAGAGTTCATGGCAGCAGCAGGGAGAGAGCAAGAGAGAGAGCAAGAGAGAGAGAGAGGGAGAGGGAGAGTCCTGACCTACCACGACTCTCAGGTGTTTGTTTTTCTATTTTGGGGGATTGGAAAATGTCAAAGCGATGAGGGACGAGGGGGCCTTAGATAATGAGCGTTCCCGACAAAAGTCGAAATAGCCAGCAGTCACACGTTCGACTGATAAGGCTGCCATGGCACCAAACCCGAGACAGAGACGTAGACAGAGACGTAGACAGAGACGTAGACAGAGACGTAGACAGAGACTCCGAGTGGAAATTTCACCAGTGGGGATATTTCACCAGTGGGGATATTTCACCAGTGGGGAGAATCTCTGCACTGCCGCTAAGTGATCTGGCAGTTAGAGTCTTGCCAAAGGCATACGGAATGCAAAATACCCATTACATTTCGCTGATTCTCTCACTCTAGGGGAGAGGGCACTGACCCCACAAAGCGACACAGACAGAGGGGGGGCACATGGGAAGTAGATACTATTTTGGGAAATTCTGCGAATGGCAGCGACATACCAAAAAGTTTGCCAAGAAAATCTCGTGATGCGAACGGTGAACTGATCCGACCAGCCCCAACATAACCCGTGTCTCCTCTACGCTAATATAACATAATATTATTTTATTATTCATTCGCAAATTCGAAATTCGGGGAATGGGCGGGGTGGGGTGGGGCAGACTTATATAATCCATAGACACGACGCTGGCTTTCGCACGTAGCTCTCGTTGCTGCTCGTGTGGCAAACAACAAATTGAAAACCGAAATTCGACAACGCAGCATTGATCGCCCTTCCCCCAACCCCCAACAAAGAGCGGTCCCCACCTGGCAACAGTTGGGAGCCTCAGTAGTTCCTCAGCTGTCAAGCGATCGGAGGAGGAGTGTGCTACAAAAGGCGTTTCATATCAGCCGCCGTCAAAGACAATGGAAACTGCAATCTACGAAAGCCCATAGCCAGCGGCTGTCCATTCAATGTTTGGGGAGTATCCTCTCTCCATTCAGCTAAACTAGAGTCGAGCTGCAATGTGCCTCGACACAAGACATGTAATTTGTTTTGGTACTGGGCATTCCCTTGTGTGTCTCGAGTCGAGCGAAGGGAGCAAGGGCGCCAGGGACAAAACTGTCAGAGGGAATCCACTTTCTGGTTTCCCATTTTTAAGTTTAGTTGACAACCCTGTCATGCCAGATCTCAGGAACAAAACCGGCATACAAAGGGTATTTAACACTTCGTTTATCAGCTAACACAAAGCTTTAATTTGTTCTCTTTCAGGCAGAGCAGCAAAAGATAAGTAGGGACTTTTCATTGTCAATCATCTTCAATCAGCTGATAGAAGGAATACTTTGGGCCGAAGGAATACAGCAGAAAAAGACCGAAATAAAAGTCGAACAGAATGAATGCAGCCGTGGCTTAGGCGTAGATAACTCTCGTATTACTTCTGACGACTACCATCAGTGCAGTGTCGTACATATTTGTACATTTGTATGTTTATTTTTTGTATAAATAAATAACGTTTGGCGATAGAAAGACGATAGCTGTGTGGGAGCCGAGTCCGACCATAGAAAGCAAGCGAACGGCTTTGATTGCATGCTAATGGCCTGCTTATTTGGCGGAAGAGTGGGAGAGCGGGAGGGCGGGAGAGCGGGAGAGCGGGAGAGCGGCGGGAGGTAGCGGCAAGTGCGATCCCACCATGCTCACGAATGCCCATTAGAACAGAAGCCAATATTGCTTTTTAAATATTCAGAGAGTGCCAGCAGGCGGACGGCATTGTTATTGGCGCTTTTGCTGCTATTGTTGTTAAGTATTTCCGCTCCAAAGCGCAGCCCCAAGGGGACCCGAAGCCATGCTCCATCACGTGGGGTGGGCATAGAGGCCTCCGAAACGAAACTCGTAGCTCCAGGACAAACCTTGAACCCTTCACCGGGGATCACAGTCTTCGTAGAGATACCAAGTCATGCTGCAGGCACTTTGAAATACAATCGGAGGCGACAATATCAAGTTCATGCGGCACTAAATAGCGGAACATGAGGTCGGGGAAATGTTTGGCGGAGCATAAATCTATCGCTGGAATCTGGGCGGCGATAACCGTGTTGCACTGTTACGTCAACCGCCAGCAGCAAGCCGCCAGCCGCCATCACATTAGCATTGAGATGGGCAAACACCATTTGGGCCCAAGGCGTGTGCAAAACGTAAACACAAATCGGATTCTACGCTCATTTCCATATCTGGCAACCACATTGGACACCGCTTGAATGCAAAATAAAATGTCGCCAGAGATGATCTGGGATCTGCGTCACTCCGCAAGAGAGACAGAGAGAGAGAGAGAGAGAGGAAGAGAGAGAGCTTGTTGTAAATGCTCCTCAACAACGAAGGTGACGGCCTTCCTTTGTTGCCAACCTGCCACGTGCCACAATAAATCTTTTGGGAAACACCCAGCATACAGCGATCGACGTAGATAACAGTTCCACAACAAAACAACACCCGCTATTCCGCAAAGTTGAAGGGTATATCAGACTCATTTCCACAATGATTCAGGTGTAATAATCCACTGATCTTCCACTCCTATAATTCGATTTATTCTGCGATTCTACCAGAGTACATCTATGGGGTACGACCCTCGAGAATGTGTGGATGCTGCCCCAGGATGTATGGCAGCCATCCAGGTACCAATTTGAGAGTTATGCAAGTCGCATCTGCGGGACTCTTTCAGGGGGGTATCTTAAAGTCGGAATATCGACCATAGAACTCTCTTTTGATTGTGGAATTATTTTTATCAATAAGAAGATTGTGGCAGCAACTCAAGCGTTTGTAGCGCCCCCACCAGGAGGCTACCCATTCTTCGAAGCATTTATAGACCGCAATGAGAGAAAAAGTTCCCCCGTCTGTTCTTTGGGGGCAAGCCCAGCGGACCTTGACTCATTGGAGTCTCAAATGTATTCTATCTTTTTCTGGCAGTCGACGAAAGCCTGTGTGCATTCGTATCTAAATATTATTGTATTATAAAAGGAACAACAAATAAGCATAGATAAGAGTTCCGTTCGTTCGCATTCACAAAGCGAAAGACCCGAGACTTGGGGCTGTTTCTTCCACTTACATAAAATCCTCGATATCCACAAACTGCGAGAACTGGCAGGGCTGGGTGTTCGTGGGAGTGTAGCCATAGCAGTAGGCGTAGCTCCATGGGCGGCTCTCGCGGCAGGGCGTGGAGACGTTCAGCAGGCTGCCCCGCTGCTGGTGGAAGGCATCCTGCTGCTGCTGGTACGGATGGTAGCGCAGTGGAGCGGCAGCCCCTCCACTGGGACCGAGCAAGGCACCCACAAAGGGACGCTGCGGGGGCAACTGCTGCGAGGGCTGCCTCGAAGGGTCTGCTAAATTATAGAAACCGCCATTGCTGAAGTTCACGGCGGGCTCATTGATCGGCAGGCGGCCGTACACAGAGCCATTCCCGACTGTGGCCAACTGCTGGACTGCTGGGACTTGGGGCTTCAGATCGCAGTCGAAGAAAGAGTCCTCGCCATAGAAGGAGGAGGTGAAAGTGCTCTCGCCGGACAGGAAAAGTCGCAATTTTCCCAGGCATTGCATGAGTTAAACATGGAATCTTTCGCTGGAATCTCTCTCTCCGGCTAAGCCCATCGATTATTCAGCACTCGCAAAATCCCAAAAAGGAACCAACAGACAAGCGCACAAGCATACAAGCGCACAAGCACACAGGCGTAGCCCCTGCTCTGATAAGAGACTGATAATAGCAGCGGAATTAGTGTTACTATTTTGATTTGGCTTTTATTTTATTTTATATTATTTCACTTCACTTTTCTGTAGGCGGAGCGACTAAAAAACACGGCGTACGAGAGTCCGGACTGCGAATGAGCGAAAGGTTCCATGGCTCCAGAGCTGCCATATTTATACCCGTTCCGGGGACCCAAAATCGCAATTAAAGCGAGAGAGAAGGAGAGAGAATCAGACATTAACGTCCGATTTTCTGCCCGTATCAGACAGAAGTTTGCTATCCGGACAAGTGCGCGGCACCGATAAGATAAAATAAACCGAAGCGAATAGAAAACAGAATTCCGTAGGGAGCTGGGAGCTGGAAGCTCGAAGCTCGTTCCCCCACAGAGGGAGAGTGAGAGAGAGATATATAGAGAGGGGGCACCCGCACCCGCACCCGCACCCAGTCATAGAGATAAAACCGCCTGTGTGGGAAGGGTGAGGGGCAGTAGCGAATTCAAATTGGAGGCACATTAATTACGACTATGCAATATCAGTCCACGCCACTTGTCCGCTTGATAATTATCAGTCTTCGTGCCCTGTCCACCGTGCACCGTGTTGCATACTTTGCAGCGTGGCCGGAAAAGCCCCACCACACCCACCACACCCCCAAGCAGTCCCAAAGGGAGATCCTTGGTTGAAGTTGTTGCCATATGATGAAACTGTCTGTTGCCTGACTCAGCCCCCTGCAGTACCATCATACAGCATACAGCCTGAAGACAATGACTAAATATTTTGACTGACGGGCGTGTTTTGATGAATCTTTTGCTTCGGTGGATAGCACAGATTATAATTATCTATAGAGCATAATAGTTAAATATTTAAATTGGTTTTGCAAACATAATGCGAGTAGGAAAGTGAAACAACGAGATAGTAGTAACGCGGCACCCAGCCAGCCAGCCAGCCATTCTATCGTGTCGCGTCGCATCGCAACTAAAACTAAAACTAAAGTTGTAACCAAAGAGAGGGGACTGTCAGTCCACAGGGACAGGGACTGACAGCCAGGGCCAAGAGCCCATCATCTCCAGCTAAGGGAAATTACATATTATATATGGTCCGTCCTTTTGTTTGTTTGGATGCTACAACTGTCAGTCATGGCTCCCAGCTACTAAATAACCCTAGAGTCCTATATGGGCAGAAGATCAAGAAGATATTCTTGAATATCTTTCTGTTCACATCAGAGGATATGTACATATGTCCATAGATATGTACATATGGATGCCTTAAGCGACAGACAGCCAACAGGCAATTTTTGAACGAATATATTGAGGGTAGCGAATATCAATTAACTTTCTCTGCCAGGCCAACAAACGGAATCATAATTTACACCAAAAATCTTACGCTAAATGCGATGTGGGGCCGCCGCCACACTTTGCCACGAAGAATTTTGGATGCCCTACTCCAGCCATCTACGATTGGTTCATCGTTGTTTCCTTATTCCCTTGCAACAAAAAAGTGTGCCCTATTTTTTATTCCTTTTCTTGTATGCTTTAGTGCTTAACAAACTTTTGATCAGAAGTGTAATGGTGGGAGGGAAGGGTTCAAAAAGAGATTCCTTTGCCGCTTCCTGCTCCGCTGCACCAGGTTCAATTCAATCAAAGAGAGCAGCAACAAGAGAGAGAGAGAGACAACAACAACAGCCGCAAGTAACGGATAAAGAGAGGCAAAGCTGCAGAGAAGCAACAACAAAAACAGAAACCGAAACGAAAAGAAGACGAGGAAAATACCAACAAAAACTATGCAAGACCTAATGCGGGACACAAACAGTATCATCTCTCTCTCTCTCTCTCTCTCTCGCACTCTCACTCCCTTCGTATGCCTTCCAAAATCCAGTGGACTGATTCCATCCTCCGTTCCCTCCCCGTGTCGTCACATTTTTAGTTCGATGGCGCAAAAAGTAGGTCGTCGTTGGCCAGACTGAGGCTGCTGCTGCTGCCGCGGCCCAGCAACAACAACAAAAACAACAGCGCATATCATTTAAATATTTTACAATATACATATACATATCTATATGTATATGAACATATGTATGTGCGTATAAGTTGAATGTGTGTTTTTATTCTGTGCGTTGGTATTGAAATTATATTTATTGTTAAGTTGTTTTTTAAAGTTTTATTTGTTGTTTTCTGGGTCTTGTTTTCGCTGCTTATTTCGAATGCCCTGGCAAAATCGTGTAAACGAATAAAAGCAAAAGATTTCAATATATATATCCCATATGATAGCGCCGAGCCATTTACTTTACTTGCATGTACTAAGGTCGAGATCAGAGCTGCATTTTGTGCATGTTTCGAGCCCCGATAGTTGATAGTTTGATCAATTGGGAAAACAATGGGCAAATAATAAGTAAATTGGAAGTGTAGGTAAATGCATGCATACATATGTATGTGCGATGCATGGATAACCAGTTCGGATCAAATGGGAAAACTACTACTGCCGCACAGTCGGTCCCTGGGTTTCTTCGAAGCGAGGCAGAGTTTCCAATCGACTATAGAACCGCTTTTCAACTTTTCAGCGATTAGCTTTGCATTGACTTGAGTTTTCAGTAGCGTCACGTAGGCCGGAGCCCACGTTTTGGTACAATGTAAATTGTTTAGATGAAACATAAACTTAACATTTTATGCGACTAACAAAGTAAGCTTTTAAAAGGGGCGTGGGCAAGTGGAGGAGGCTGGCCACAGAAGTCGAAACACTCACAAAAAAAGAAAACAAAGCAGATAAACCGTGGTAAACAATACAGGTTCGTTTTACAATGTACTATATTGATATGGATATATGTACATATGTATAGTGGAGCGAGGGGTGGGGTGGGCTGCTTGGATCGACATAATCGAACACAACAGGTTTTTCTTTTTCTCTTCGGTCAAAAATAGCCCAAAGTGCGGTTTAAAGAGAGAGAGAAACAGAACAATGCACTGATTCTAAAAATAGATGTGCATGCCTTGAAGGATACGACCCCTCGCTCCTGGGGGAGAAACAAGTGCCGTCTCTTTAAGTATTTCCGCATACAAAGTGCGATTGCGGATAGGTATCGTATCATATAATGACGTGCCAACTGATCCGATCAATGCATATGCATCGATGTAGCGATTTCAGTTTTGTCTTTCGCCCGTTCAAGGTCAGGGGTCTCGGGTCTCGGTCATTGCGTTCTCTTTTACGCTCGGTCTGCCTCCGTCACAAGCTTGTATAATTATCGCGAATGCAAAAATTAGTTGAATGTGTGATTGATGATTGTTTAAATTTTCTATTATTTCTCCCTTTTTTTTGTTTTGTTTTGTTTTCGATTGATCGTCTCCAACCACTGACGGACGCCCAGCAAGAAAATGATCATGTCCTGACTCTTTTGATCCTCTTCAGATTGCAACGATCGGTAGGGCAGTACCACCCTCCACCTGATCACTAGTCGGGCGCCCTTTCAGTGGAGATCATCGATAGAAATGACCGCTTTCATTAAATTCCCACATTTCCTACATCCAGTCTTCCAGTCCGGCAATTGGAAAAACAAACATACATACATATTTGTGCAGAAAAATGAGAGGAAAAAACGTGACGATAGCAATAGAAGCCGACCGCTGCGACGCCGCACCAGCAGCAGCAACAGCAGTGGCGGCGAGAAAAAGAAAGCAAGCGCTTATGCAATAGCCAAAGCAACTGATCTAGAGACATCCGATTGGAAGGGATGGGCGGGACGTGTGGGGGACTCACCTGCGTTTCTCCTTGGGCTTGCCGCTGGCAGTTAGGTTTGACCCTGATCCAGGAGTAGGCATGGCTAGTGCGCTGCTTGTGCCAGAGGTGCTCGCAGATGCAGCAGCAGCGGGGGTGGTGACGTGACGCTGTTTTTGCGCCTCCGCCGCCGCATCGATTGTATCAATTAACGAAACCATTTTGTCTCCAATGATCAAAATGCAGCAGCATTCAAAATCTATCTATGAGGAGATGTGTGGTTCCTTTATTTTATTTTATTTTATTGTATTGTTGTTTCCTTGGTTGTGTTGTTGTTATCGGAGTGTTTTCCAGTCTCTTTTTGAGACTCTTCGTTGTTGTTTTTGTTGTATTAATTTATTATCGCGTCTGGTGTGTTTCTTTTTATGTGTATGTTTTATGAAAACTAGCTGAAATTCTCTTTGCGTGTGTGTGTGTGGGTGTGCGTGATGTGTTGTGCCCGTTTGGTGCCACTAACACATTCACAGTCACAGTCACTGTATTTTCCTATTCAACTTTTAAGATATTATGTTATTGATATTATTGAATGCCCCCAGTGGACTTTCTACTTAGTTTTGCATTATTTCTTGCACGTCAATTACTTCTTTCTGATCACAAACAACTGCCACAAGCACAAGGTTATTTGTTGTTTTTGTTGTAGTTCCAGCACCTTGAGTATTATTGCACTTTGAAGTTCTGCACGGATTTGATATTCAACTCGCGATTTAACATCTCACATCTGAGATTTATATGCACTTTATGCATTTTACAAACTCGCTTACAGCATTTTTCGTCACGAAATTAATATTTTTTACGTGTTTATATGTCAGCCAGTGTGACCGCGGGATTCTCGATTAAATATACCGTCCGACCCTCAGAAATATACCATAATATAACTTCTCATTTTCAAAATATACCGTAAATATACCTTGAACCTAATTTCGTTGGAAAGAAGAGGAGGAGGAAGAAGGACAACAAAACAAAAACACAATTGAAAAAACTATATATGTAATAGGATATCGCATATTATTGATCGTGGTGAGGTGATGTGCGTACGAGCCTTGTAATTTTGATTGGCCGATTTTGCCTGTTGTCCATACCTTTCAAACGACCATCTGTTGATTTCGGATGGGGGACCGAAAAAAGGTTTCTAGTATTTCTGGGCACCGCTTCAAAAAACATATTTTTTATTAATTAAAAAGTAAACAAAACTTGTTTACCTTTATTTAAGATCATTCTTTTCTATCTGGCTAGGGAAGACTTTGTAGACTAGACTAGTCTAAATATTATAAAATATTTTGGCCCCTCTCTTTCGAGATAGTATAAATATCGGTATTTTTGTGCGATTAATGAAACGAATTTGGCGGTAGCAGCCATTATTTTTAAAATAATATACGTGCTGTGATTGTTGTTGTAACACATTTAGCATTTATTTATGACATTGCTATCTGATTAGCTGGAAAAATAGTGATAGCCTTATGGGAAATGTCTGCAGGCAGAGCGAGAGAAGTAAATGCGTTAATATGCCTTCCCTGTTGAGCTGGGATCTTCTGTCTTGTCTCGTTCATCGAGTGCGTGCTCTTTGATCATAAAGCTCAATCATACGCCCATCTCTAAGCGTAGATCTCCCCCTCACTAATATTTTTTTCTATCCTTTTCAATTGTATTCGCCTATGCATGAATCTGTGTAAATTCTGCATGTGTTTGTACCCGCGTTCGGCGCTTATGTTCGTACAACTACAAGCACAACAGCAAAGGGAATAGGACTCCAAAGAGAGGAATGGAAGGGAATACCCACACCACCATACATAGTCAGTATATCGTCGTTATTTTTTACCGTTGAGTTCCTCGAAATGTTGTAGTGTTGTTGCTGCGCCATTTTGTGACCTTCTGCGCAAGCTTCAGAAATTTCTTGTACATTTTGCCGATCTCGTTCTGATCTGCACAGTCTACTCTCATTCGGTTTTAAATTCAAATTGCAAGCAGACGTGTCCGGCTTAAGTGCAACAAATTTTACAAATTTATTTGATCAAAGCAAAAAATATTGGTGCAAGGTGAGAGAGAATTGGAGTATCCATTAGTTTTTAAGAAATGTAATTCAAAATTTAGATATTTATTCCTGTGGGAAGTGCATGTGTGTTCTTTTTGTTTTTTTTGGTTTGGGTAGTGCGTCGTGCGGTTCTGCCACTGCCGCAAAGTATTGCTTCGTGTGTGAGTGGGTGTGTGTTTCCCGCCTAAGACTTGCGCTTCGCTGCATTCCTTTACCCCTTTGCTGGCTTACATTAAATAAGTCGAATATCTCTGCAAATTTTCTTAAATAACTCTAGCTTTATAGTTAGAGCCGACCTAAAGGCGGCCTTTCGCTTGTCGGCGCTGCGTTTCGTGTGTCTGTCGCTGCCTGTCGTCTGAGTGGCGCCTGTCTTTTGCGGGCCGCATTATTTCTATTCCCTCATGCCCCTTCTTCAACCAACATCTTTAAGTATAACTGTTTCGTATTATTGTTGTTTTTGTTTTGTTTTTGATACAGTTCGTTTTCTTTTCTTTTAGATGGATAATTCACTTCACATATCTCCCAATGGTGATGTATACTACAATGACAAACTAATCGCAGACAGTAATTACATCAACAATGGATGGGGTAGGAAGTCATTAATAAATGAAATAAATAAATTAATAATAGATTTAAATATAATTACAGAAAAAAGCTTTCTGGAATTCGTTGAACGGCAGGTTGCCGTTAAAAATGTGATCTCAAAAGCTTACACTGCTTTGATAATAGCTTCTGATGAGGCAATGCACAACAGCAAGGACGTCGAAGCTGGCGAGAACGCTATTAATTCGTTGAGTGCTGCTATCAACTGCCTCATTCCTGTTGTAAAATCATCATTCGAGGCATCCCAGCCTTAGCAGCACCATAAGCGGCAGAGGAGGAAGCTTCAGCAGCACCAGAAGCAGCGAAGGAATAATGTGAAACACAAAATTAAACGAACAAATAAACTTTGATTATGTAATTTGAATTTAGTTTGTCATTAATTGATTGTCCCGCTTTTTCCCTAAGCCCCCGAACCTACTACCCCACCCACTGATTGCCCTACAGCTGCTGGAAACTCCAGTCCGAGATTAGTTGATGATGGATCCTGTTTTGGATCGGATTATTGATAGTATTAGTGCCCTTTCCAAAGTGAAGTGAAGCCCTTTTCCCGCCAAATTAAAATGTTTACTCCACGAGAAGTAGTGTGGCCAACAACGGATACGGAAAAATGGCACATTTAAACGAAAATAAACGCAACAATTGAATTAAAAAATAAACATAGATGTTTTCTAACGGATTTCCGGCATGCTTTATTTGTTCAGAAATGTCCATAGTAATCATAAATGTTGTCCGGAATTCTTCTCTCTTATTGAGCCTTCTCTACCGCCGAGCTGGTCTGCGGCGGCAACTCTTCGGCAGATGGGGCAGGTGCCCCACTGTCTGCGGGCTGATCCTCCTCCTTGACTGGAACTCCAGTCGAATTGTCAACGGGTAGGGCATCAGATAGAGGATCATCATCGTCGTCATCAACGCCGCCATTGGCTTTGTTGTAGACGGTGGGATATTGCTGGAAGCAGTCGCGCATTTTGGTGAATGCCTCGAAGCAGTCGGATCCCTTGGGATCTGCATTGCTGTACTGAAAACAACTAAATGCCTCGCGAAAATCAACGCCGCACGGTCCCGTGGCCATGCCGCCCAGGCAGGGACAGCTCCAGTTGATGTTGCCGTCCTTTGTGATTACGCCCTCTGCCGGCTCTGGCGCCGGTAGCTCAATTGTGCTGGGCGTCGCATGGTCTTCCTTGGTAACGAAGATAACCTTGTCCTTGCCGAACTGTTTGCAAAATGAAAATGACATCCTGATGCCGAAAGTTCCTTGCTTTCACCTAAAGTTCGATATTGTCGTCAAAGTGCAGCTGCTTTTTTGATGTGTCTAGCACCTGAAAGTGACAAGGCACCTCCTGGTAGTGGCCTATCAAAGTTATAGCGATACGCGCGCGCTCAACGAACTCTTGGGGCACTCGCAAGATAAATCGTCTATCTGCCGCACTGAATTTCTCAATATCCAACGATGTCTTGCCGCCAATTTCTCCAAACAAACTTTCCAGGGAGTTGAGAATGCACCCACTCAAGTAGCCAGGCGTCAATACAACAGATTCGGTGTCACGAAGTTTCCTGTAATGTACATACAACCATTATTTACGGGAGAGGCACGTGTGCACCCGGAACATGGTACTTTTCCCACATACAGCTTAACATCCAAGTATTGAGAATCACTCATTCTTTGGTTGACGCTCTGATGTTCCCAAATACGCTGGGCGTGACTCCTAATTCATCAAAGTTTGCTTTAAATCTTGTTAAATGCCGGGGTAATTTTATGTAATTTTTTTTTTTGCTTCTCACGTTCCTTCAAACAGCTGGTTAGACAGCGATAGACGATAGCGATACAAGCGATAGATAGCATCTAATACGCTCGAAATTCAAAATCGACATCTAATTTATTAATTTAACAATGAAACAAAGCAAAGATAATTTTGAATATTTTATGTGAACTATTTTTTTTTCAATGTCAGGTTTGAAGCGATTGTTCAGCAACTGGAGGACAGAACGCATTTTCATTGGCTTACTCTCAACAACTCCCAGATATTTCTTCAGCATTATCCTTGTCAAAGTCTAGGGCTGTCTTAGAGGTGTCTATCACTTGAAAGTGGCAAGGTACTTCCTGGTAGTGGCCTATCAGCGACAGTGCGGTAAGTGTCCGCTCGAAAAACTCTTCAGGAACACGGAAAATAATTCGGTGGTGCTTAGTGCTAAATTTAACAATATCCATGCTGGTCTTGCCACCCAGATCGCCAAAGAAGCTCTCCAGAGCACTGAGAACACAGCCACGAAAGTTGATGGGCGTGAAAAGAACAGCCTCGGGGTATCGGAGCTTTCTATACACAAGAAAACGTGTTAAATTATAGACAAGGAGTTTTTGTTTGCGCCTACTCACAGTTTTACATCAAAATAGTAATAATCACTCATGATTCACGCTCGTTTCTGTCACTGTCTTCTATAAGGGGTTTTCCCTGTAAACCAGCAATCAATCTTCTCTCCACATTTAATTTAATCTAGGAAATTTTCTTTTTTTGTATCATGTTTCTGAACTATGAATTTTTAAGTGAAATGATTACGATAAAGTACTCGATTGCTCTGTCGCAGGTGCTCTAGTCGATATATAGCGTAGATATTTTAGATATTATTTGGTATATTTTTTTGAAAAAAAACAATAATCGATACTATCGTAATAGTATCGTGCTCAAACAATTTATAAAAAACCAGTGAAACCTTTTAGGAACTTGTCTATTGTAAAAATTAGATGCCACCTGTCGATTTGTTTACAAATTTGTCTTCGTATTTTATAGCAGCCAATCCAAACATATCAAAGGCGCAACGACTGTAGCTCGATACTATCACGATAGTCGCAAAACCGTCGATAGTAGAGACTAGAAGTAAAATATCGATACTATCGATAGCGCCCTCTATGGTTTGACACCTCTACACTGCCGCCAGAAGTTAAAATACTTTGACGAAATTCTGACACAGAAGCATTAAAAGAAAGAGACTTACAACCTGGCTGCATAGTTGTCGACTGGAAGTAAGATGGATGCATTAACAAATTCAGTAGAGAGTGAAGAGAGTGGCCCTCTGAACATAAATAAATTAATTGTAAGTTGCTGATCGGCGATCTAGCTGCGCAAACACATAAACCTGTATGTACATATATTTTGTTTTGCGACTCAACAAAAGGGCGGCAATATAACTGCGAAGGACATATCGGTGCTGCAATCGGCAAGCCTTCACACGGTTGATGCTGTGGCCAACTCGACGCGCAAGTATCTGCTGGCCATACCCGGGCTTGGTGGGTCCAAGGTGGACCAAATTCTTTCCGCAGCCACAAAACTCGTGCCCATTGGCTTCCTCAGCGCCCGCACCTTCCAACAGTTGCGCGCCGATGTCGTTATGTTGACGACTGGCTCCAAGGCGCTGGACAAACTGCTTGGCGGTGGCATAGAGACGGGTTCAATCACGGAGATCTTTGGCGAGTTCCGCTGTGGCAAGACGCAGATCTGCCACACCCTGGCAGTTACCTGCCAGCTGCCCATCAGCCAGAAAGGAGGCGAAGGCAAATGCCTCTACATAGACACTGAGAACACTTTCCGCCCTGAACGCATCTCGACCATTGCCCAAAGGTACGGTCTGAACGTAACCGGGGTCTTGGACAACGTTGCCTGTTCCCGGGCCTACAACACCGATCAGCAAACTACGCTGCTCCAAATGGCTGCAGGCTTGTTGTTTGATACCAGGTATGTACGCATTTAACTATTGGGAATCCTGCCCATAGACTCATTCGCCCCATTCCTCCTATTCCACCAGATTCGCCTTGGTTATTGTCGATAGCGTCATGGCCCTATACCGCTCTGACTACACTGGACGTGGCGAACTGGCTCCCCGCCAGAGTCATTTGGGATTGTGCATGCGCCAGCTTCAGCGCTTGGCCGACGAGTTTGGGGTGGCTGTGGTCATTACCAACCAAGTGACCGCCGTGTTGGACAACGGTGCTAACATGTACGGCGGTGAGGCCAAGAGGCCCGTGGGAGGGAACATAATAGCCCATGCTTCCACCACTCGACTCTATCTGCGTAAGGGCAAGGGGGAGACGCGCATCTGCAAAATTTACGATTCTCCCTGTCTGCCCGAGTCTGAGGCGATGTTTGCGATTCTGCCAGACGGCATAGGCGATGCCAAGGAGGGCAATTGATTATACTACATATCAGCTTATTAATTACCTATACCTTTTTCCGAAATATATATATATATATGCATATAATGTGATTGCAAGAAGGTTGCATCTTTCATGGAATAATTAATTAATGTATTTGTTTTCTTATGCTAATTTTTAGTTTAAGACATATACCACGCTTGTAATAAGGTTGCATCTTTAATGGAATAATTGATTAATGCATATTTGTTTTAGTTTTGTTAATTTTTAGTTCAAGATTTCTCGACATTAAAATGAAATTTTTCTTGTATTAAAGATCACTTAATGATAGTTTCACTTGAGTGGCACACACGCTAAAGCATGATTATTTCCTCATGAAACAGGAGCTGCGCTTTCTTCTCTTAGGTGCTATTTATAGGTGTGCGGCAGTGGCCAACCAGCGGAGGAATGTGCATATACTCGTAATGTTAAGAGCTCAGATGATATGAGGATAATAAAGCGTATGCTGACCACGCTGATACTAGAAGAAACGCGACGGAAGAACGCAAGCTAAAGAGCAGACACAGCTGACTGTACACATGCTAAGAAGCAGTTCGAAACATTGACGCGCGACAAACACACGTGTCACACGTGGATAACCATAAATATCTGGCCAGACCAAGATGTTTATTCGAGTAATTTATGTTTGTCTGTATAATCTAGAACTTTATTTATTGTTGATCAAACATTTCTACACACATAGTAAGTAAAATTTTAAGGATCGGAACCCTTGTGAATGTATCGGGTCCATCCAATCGATTGCAGAATATTCCACATCCAGAGTCAAAAATGTAGGCAAATAAGGAATTTGAATAATTTGTTTTGTTTTAATCCGATAGATTAAGCAATAAAAACTTTGCTAATCGTAAGGGGTTGGGTTGGGTTCCATTGTGTTCTTGAGCTATAGCTCAATTGTGCTGGGGCTTTAGCTTTAAACGCTTAGGAGTAACTAAAAAACTTTATAGAGTCCAATACACACAAATACGTTGTGCATTGGGAGGGTTTTACCTTATCGTATCGTTGGATTAGTAACTGACGCTAAAAACATTATACTGTATTGTTGTTTACTCTTTTTTAGCGGTAGCTGGGATATTGCCTTGTTTGGCCTCAACGAGACTGTCATAGCCACGCTCGTTCATCGAGACGCGAAGATTCTCATTCACGTTTTTTGTATAGCTCTTGTAGATCTTCACCTTCTCGCAGAACTCGATCCAAAAGTTGTCCTCCTCCGACGCCGAGTTAAACAAGTTCTTGAACCCCTCGTAGATGTGCGTCGACACCTTACGTATGATTTGAGCCTTCTCCTTGAACTCAACTTCATCGGTGTAGTCCATCTTCCAGAGGTCCAGGTTGCCAACATATCTTCGCAGTCGTCGCATTATGTCCACGCATTCTGGATTGCGCAGCAGCATCAGCTTGGTCAGCTCAACTTCCTTGAACTGGTCTAGTATCTCTAGACACTTGCCCACATTGGCTCGCCGCAGGCCCAGGCACTCGCGCAGCTGCTGGGAAAGCTGAATGAAGTCCCGCTCCATAAACAGGGCGTCCTCGTGCTCGATGATCTCCGCAATGAATCGCGCTGCCTCCTGCTTGGGTATCTCATTTCGCGAGGGCTCAACGATGATGCGCCCGGGCAGGGTGTCGGGATCGAGCTGCCCCGACTCCAGTTTCAGCTTCAGTTCGTTGGCCTCCTTGCGGGACCTATCCATCCAGGACTGCTCGGCAGCGGCATTTTCAAATCTTTCCGGCTTGTTGTAATTGATGTCGATGCCCAAGCACTTGGCTGTCGGCATATATACCATCAGGAGGTCATTCTCTTTATTCTGTGTGGAAAACCAATTTTATTTTGTATTCTAGTGTACAATATTGTACCGTGTAACTTACGTTTGTAGGGCGCGACCTCTTTTGAATGGGTGTCACTGCGGCGGTTGGCTTCGACTTCTTCACTGATTTCTTGCCCATGCTGGCGTTGGCTACTGCGGGTGGTGTCGGTGCCGCAGCTATGCCTTCCGGTGGGACGCGCCGCTTTTGCGGCGGTGGCCCGTCAGCAGAATCGGTGCCGGCCTCTTCAGAGTCACCGTCCACATGTTTCAGAGCCGCTTTCGGCCTGCGTGCGCCCGCAGCTTTCTTCTGTGTATTGGTGCTCTCGGCAGCTGAAGCATCTGCAGCAGGAGTATCAGGCGCTTCCGCAGTTGGCGGGGCTTCGGTAGGTGTTGCGTTTTTTACCGGGGAGGGCGTTTCAGGGATTGAGATGTGCTCGTCGGCACCGCCATCTTCGGGATTTGATAAATCGATTGGAGCCGAGTCCTCCCCCTTAAGTGCCCTCTCAATCTGATCCATTGCTTCGCTAAACTTGGCTCGCTTCATATTCTTGTCGGTGGCGAACTTCTCCTTGTTTTCGACATAGGGGAAGAGGTCCTCTATTTTAATATTGGCGGTCTCTCCTGTGCCGTAAAAGTAAACATTGTACTTTTTGTTGATATACCTTGTGATCTTTGCTGGCCATGCCGGGTAACCCTTCACCTTGGCGAACACCAAGTCAGCAATGCTGAACGATTTGCCACTCTTTTCTTTACCCATTATTGCCGAAAAGTTGTCAAAAAAAACTGCGAAAAACTTTAATTTGTAAGCAAAATTGGCGTCTGCAGTGTGACCGCGAATTTATCAATAAAATATACCGCCTGAATCTCAGAAATATACCATCTCATTTTAAAAATATACCGGGGCGAAAAACTAATTTAGCCCACTCCACCCCGCTCGATTTAATAAATAAATAAATTATTCAAGCCCATGAAAATATTATTATTTGTAAATTCTTTCTTCCTCACATCCTTGCGGTTAACTCAAAAAAAAAATCATCTTTTCGTTGGGTCGACAATGGGTTAATGTTCTTTTCTGTTGATCGGAGAACATATTTCACGATTTTGCTATTCGGTTTAATATGTTTAGCTGGCTAGGGCCCCCAGCTTTTAACATCTAATTTTATCCGATACATGAATCAATTTCCTACACGACTGGTAAATTTAAAGAGCACCCTTTTATTGGATTGTTTATAAAATAAGAGTTAAACAAAAGTAACTGGGAATGAAATGTAACTTAATGCCATTATTCATAGTGTAATTCGGGGTTTAGATATAGATTTGAGGTGCCTGTTTGTCAGGCTATTCGTTTTAAATGCATTTTAATCCGTTTTTTTTTTTGGGAGTTTGTGACCAACAGGTTAACTATAATTATACGGGTGGTACGCGCGCGTAGATATCCTTGTTGACGCATAAATCTTGCAGCCACTTGGGCAAGGGTTCTTGGGTTCTTATCCCGTAAACGTGCTTTGGTCTTATCAGCTGTACGAAAGCATAGAGATCTTCGTTGATGGGTTGTTCTTCCTCCAGCAGCAATTCGTCAATGTACACGACGTCAATGTCTTCCTTGAGGGCACTGGCTTTGATCAGAAAATCCAGATGGCCAGACAATTCATCCACAATTAAATATCTGGTTTGTCCATCTGTAATAGGAGTCTGCAATGGGTACATGTGAGGCAATAATTTACAGGATATGCTCACTATCTATGAAGAACATGCTCATGTCTATCCCGTCTTTGTTTTTTCCTGTTGGTAACAGCTCCACAGTAAGCTTCGTTTCATCGTAGAAAACTTTAGTTGGTTCGTTGGGTCTTATGACATGATAAGTATAGTTTTTGATATTATTTGGAACTGATTCCAGCCGACGCATATTCTCCAGCGAGCCAATGATGCGCTTGCACCATGTGGGGGACACTTGGTGATCTTTGAATGCAGTTGACGTCATGAGAAGGGCTCCGTTGTGCTAATAAGCACAGTGTGAGAATAAGTCACATATGGCTAATGATTGGAATAACTTACCTGATCGTAGGGTCCATATTTTTTCTGTGCATCCAGAATATGAGGCTGTCCAATTTCATTCAAAAACATATTTATATATGTTTATAGCGCCTGACTCTCAGAAAAAACCTTTAAACATGGTATTTAATAGAAGTTGATTAATATTTCGATATACAGTATATATATAACTTGAACTGAACTCAATTTCGCCGTCAATTTATTCAGAAAAAAGTCACCCTGCTAGGCGTCTGCTGCAGTGCTGCCGATTCCGCTTTTTTTCCTGTAACATCTGGCTGTTTTTGAAGACCAACTGCGGGAAAAAGTTGTGAATTGAGGGAAGTGACAATTCTGGATTTTCTAATGCGTTTGGCTTTTTTCCTGTCGATATGGAATTAGTTGAAAATATTACAGAAATTAAACGCCAACATAGCGATGTTCATTTATTAAAATGGGAAGACATCAGGGACACTTTGTGGTGTGAGGTTAACTTTTATAACCTGAAACGACCAAGAGCATTCTGTACATAAGGTATGATGAGTTAATGGAGCTATTACTGTAAAAAAATTAAATTGGTGACCCTTAGATTATGCTTTTATTAAGGTGTTTAATGTTTTTTTTCAGGTTTTTTTGTCACAAAAAACACTCAGGATAAACAGGGTATTAGTAGGACCATAATTGATCGATTGTTATCGATTATCGAATTTAAAATTCTTCTATCGTAGTTTGCACATAAACGTTTTTCTTTCAAAATGTCTTGTGTGTGTGTACTATAACCGTACTAATTATTTGTCTGGCTAATACGTCCATTTAACGTATGCTTCGTCTACCTTAATTACAATCAATCACAATTAAACTTTGGCAGCGTTCCCACAGGTGAAAGGTTTGTTGGCAGGCGCCAAATTTACCATTTTCACCCACACACACACAACACCTTTACGCACCTATGGGCTGCTTTATTTAAATAAAACATTTGTTGTGGGCTGTGCTCAGTCGTGTCTGCGCTGCGAGCGAAACATCATCTCTAGCCAACATAAAAAAATAATTTCCCGTCGGTATCTCCAATAAACTTGCATTTGTTTACTGAGTCACGAGAGCCAGCAATAAGAGCAGCAGCGCGAAATAGTTTTCACATTCGGCCTGGCCTGGAATCTGTGGAATTCGTTAATTCTTTTATTAAGTGGCGTGAAATTTCATTGGCAACATAAACACAAGCATGCAAGAGCTAATAATTGCTCCGCTCGTTCCCGGAAACGGAGGAGGGCTCAACAATGTGCTTCAGAAGGTCTCATATGATAAAGAGAATATTGAGAATGAAAAGGCCAAAAAGTGAGTCATAGTCATGGGTATACATACTATATACATATAGAATTTAAGCTTACGTTTAACGGGAGCACACAAGTCAAGGTAGCGCTTATGTCACGCAACCGCAACCAGCAACCTTTTTTGTTGCCACTCTGGGAATGCACCACTTGCTGTGAGGCAAATGTAACGGTAGCGTAGCAGGGTCCATGCTTGAAATTCCAACGCCAGATTTTCAATGTACATATGTATATATCATACCACATGTTGCACATTGCCTTATCTTGCTACTGGTGTCCTATTTATTCAACGAGGAAATCATGTATGTATATAGGTACATATCGAAGAATGAATTCCTGGACAATACAATGCAGCATACTATTTATTTTATTTATACTTTAATTACATAAAATAAAATATGCATTAGTTGACGCATTCTTGGCATTCTTCTCAATCAAAGTCCCTGACTCTGACAATTGAATTCAAGGACACCATAATTGCTAAATGAAAATTTATCATAGGAAGGTCTCTTCTGTCTACAAGCCTCTGTCAAAATGCTCATTATTTTTGGCAATAGAAAATAGAAAATAAAGCAAATGTTTGCCCAAGGGGTAAAATCTGATGGTGGGTACTCACCCATCGAGACTATAGAAAGGAATGCACATTGTTCTGTCAGATGTTTTTGTTACCAGGTACAGGAGGCCCACAACTTTAGGATAGTCCATGTGATTAGCCTAGTTTTCCCAATTCGCATGAGGATAAGAATGCCAAGACCCAGACACAATAGACCTTAAATTCTTTCACTATATTGGAGCAGATACATAAATAATGGAAATGAAATCGTTGAAGTTTTTTTATTTTTTGTTTTTGCACAAAATCATTGGTCGGTGCGAAATATTTTAATTTCGTTTATTTTCAAATCAAAAACATTTGCGACGATGCCACTGGTTTGCTCTAGTGAAAGTGACCGATGATTAATATTGGCCACTTGCCAGCGGAATTTGTGATTATTATTTAATGACGACGAGAAGTCGCCGTAAAAATATAATAAAGCGAAACAAAAATTCGCTTCGCATCGTCACACAGACACCGGCTATACTCTTCTCAGCAATTCTGACTCAATTCCGTGATAGAGAGAGTATACCTAATGATTCTAGATACACAGAAAAAAGCCCAAGCATGGCCACTCGTTGAAAGGGTATATTTCTGTAGGGTTTAAAAATAAGTGCAGTCTCTGATTTTACACACTTACATTCCTCAGTGGGAAGCAGCTCTTTGGAGGGCGATGACAGAAGCAGCAGGAAGGTGTCAACAAGAATTGGGCACCACCTTCCATTTTATATCTGCTGACAGCCGAGTGGGAGAGAAGAGGAGGTGGTTTGGTTGGGCTAGCGGTATGGTATGGCTTTATTTCAACTATTCAGATGTAATTACTGACAGACGGGGTACAGTCCTCTCCCTCTCCCCGACCGAACAGATATGATGACTGATCTTTTTGTTTTGGCATTCGCCAAATATCTCGATTCTATTTTCATATACACTCCAAGGATCTAATTATAAACAATTTTCTAGGTGTACCAGTGTAGGTGGGATACACAAATATTTATGCATATGTTTAGCAAATGATTATTGTTTTGTAGAGCTAAAAACGATGACGTACTGAGCCGAAACATCGTGTGTAGGTGCTGTGTTGGGTCGGGATGGAATGGAATGGGATGGGTGGGTGATGTGTTGTTTTAGTTCCCATTCACAAAATTACGCAGGCTGGGATTCTTCAGGCTGAAAGCCTGTACGGTAGTACGCAAATAGATATATGTACATAAGCAGAGTGGATAATACCTTTCATTTGTTTTTGCGATATTTGTATTTGGCGTAGCGCACAAATTATTTTTTTCTTCTTTGTTCGAAATGAGAAATGTTTGTTTTTTTTATGAGGTTGTTTACCCACATTATTAATGGTTCTGTTTTGGTGTTTCACTTGCAGTTCCCAGGCGGTGGCGGAGGACAGCACACCCTATCCAGGACTGTCGCGCCTAACCCCATCACTGATCCTGTGCGGGGCCGCGGCTGTGGTGCCCGCCTACATGGACAAGCTGGGAGTGAGTTGCGTCATCAATGTGGCCCCTGAGCTCCCGGACACACCCCTATCCAGCGTGATGAACCCACTGTATCTCCGCGTAAATGCCCAGGACCGTTCGGAAGTTGACCTGGCGAAACATTTCGACGAGGTGGCTGATCTCATCGAGGAGGTGCGTCTCAATGGGGGCTGCTCTCTGATACACTGCGTGGCCGGGGTCAGTCGCTCGGCCTCCCTTTGCCTGGCCTACCTGATGAAGCATGCGGGCATGAGTCTGCGGGAAGCCTACACCCACGTCCAGTCCATTCGGCCTCAGGTTCGTCCGAACTCTGGATTCTTTCAGCAACTGCGGCGCTATGAGCAGCAGCTGCGGGGAAGCAGCTCCGTGGAAATGGTCTACTTTGCTTCATTGGACAAGGAAATCCCCGACATTCTGGAGCCCCAATACAGGGCCATGGAGGACTTCTACCAGAGATATCGCAGCTCGCTGAGGAAACGCTAGATCTTGAACCTGCGATGCAGGCCAAGAGACATTTCGTAATTTGTGATATGTGAGAATTATGTGTAGAAATTAGATGTATGTAGATCCTAGTATATGATATGAAATGCTGAAATATACACAGGCTAGTGTTTGATTTTCATAATTACAAATACACTTTTATTTAAGAACATTGAATTCACTGAGTAATATTTTAGTTTAGTAATTTCAATGAATCACAAACGTCACTAGCACAGCACACACAATACATGTGCAACACAATTGAATTATATATTCCACTGGATTCTATTAGCAGGTATATATATATATATATATATATATACAATTATCGTTACCTAACTAAACTGTAATCTTGTAGTAGGTTGGGTTCATTTAAATGCTCCTCATAGGATGTGTGTATGTACAATAATTATAAATATCTAAATCTCAGCTTCTCGGCATAGGCGACTTAAAAGAGACTTAAAACGAAACAAAATTTGCTAGCTAAAGGGCAGAATTAACAGAGTTTTGTGTGTACATTCAGCTTTGGTGTACAGGCAACATAATACATAATGCAACCACATCCAAACACTCATTTGGCCTCTTCCTCCATCACTTACTTGAAGATATCGGAGATGTATGCGGTATTTGTGGTATTTGCGGTTGCTTGTGCATCAGCTTTTTCAGGTTCTCGTAGGCCGTGTTCATGATGCCCCAACTGATGAAGGAACGTCCCGTGTTGAAGGCGCAGCCACGGTAGAAATTCCCAATGCGGCTGTCGCGTTCGCGATAAATTCTTTTGCATGCATGCCAACTGCCCTCCGACAGATGGCCCATTTCACTTTGCAGCGATACTTTGATCACATTGAGGGGGTAGAATATTGTGCTGATGCTGGCACCGATGACGGCCCCTGCAATGAATTCCTGAGCAGTTCTGCTGGACACCGATTTCTAAAAGGGCAAGCGTCAGTATTGGCACATCACTCTTTTAGTTTAAAGAAGGTTATACTTGCCCTTTTGGGTAACCGAGCGCTGGCCTCTTCCCTGAGCACAAAGAAGAATGCATTGGACATGCCGTTGCGCCAAAATACTGGTTCAATACCCCTATAGAGCTCCCGGTATCCATGATGGGCCACTACATATCTAGAAATGTCCGGTTGATTTACGCGAATTTCAAGTGTTGTGCCTCTCACCTGAACGCATTTGAGGTATTAGAGAAATGTTGATGGAATTTCGAGTCCGCCAGCAGCGTTTGCACGCGTTCAAAGGGTAGGAGAATGGATTCAGCACTACCTGCCACTACGCCGGCAATCACCTTGGCCCCATAGTCATTTAGGCGATAGTCTTCCACCAGATATCTCCTTGTGCCATCAAACACACCAAACATTATGGACAACGAAATGGTTTTCTGTGCCAATGGTGGTAGCATCCCCCGGTACAGAAAGCTAAGCCCCTCATGCCGCAGCTGTGCGTAGGCAGATGTGATGCTTGTGCCATGCAGCATTTGGCGAAAGATCATTTTGTAGATGGGATATGTGGCGGAAATGTTGACAAACGCTGCCCCGCATCCGCAGGCAAACTCTTCCCACTGGAAGGCGCCAAAGAAGCGTTCAGTGAATATGCTCGCATGGCTAGATCTAGACCTTAGCGCTGTGGGTGGTGCTGTTTTTGTTGTTGCGTATGCATTCTGGGGCGTCTCACCATCGTCGCTCATGTTGCTACTGTAGCTGTAGTGGCTAGTGCGAAAATTTGTGCAATTGTCACCTCGCTACCATTGTTCACAGTGGTAACTCCACACTCACACACTCGGCTTGGGATTTGTTTAAATTATATTTAAATTATATAATAAGAACCACGGTATTACGAGTAGGTGCTATCGATACGGACGGCATATCGTGGCGATACATCGATGCAAGTTTAAATTTAAGAAAATAATTTTAACGCTTTTCTAATCATTTTAATCAATTATTAATGGCAATATATAGCACTTTAATAGATGCATTTGACGGTGCATTTAATAGTATTCGCTAAACCAAATTATTGCTTAGCACTATCGATAACAAGGTGTCAAAATCTAGTGCGGTGTATTTTATACTTTTCGGTATATTTCTGAGGGACAGGCGGTATATTTGATTGATAAATCTCATGGGTCTGTCTGTCCTTCGGAAACTAGAGCTGTCAACGATTGCTAGTTGAACAATCGATAGTTTTGAATGTTTTGAAAAACAATCGATACTATCGTAATAGTATCGGGCTCAAATAATTATTAAAAACCATTGAAACCTTTTAGGAACTTGTCCATTGTAAAAATTAGATGCCACTTGTTTACAAATTTGTCTTCGTATTTTAGAGCAGCCAATCCAAATATATCAAATGCGCAACAGCTGTAGCTCGATACTATCATGATAGTTGCAAATCCGTCGATAGTAGCGGCTAGCAGAAAAACATCGATACTATCGATAGTGCCCTCGATGGTTTGACATCTCTAACTCTTTCTTTTTAGCGTGCTTCTACAAAATAGCGGTTCGTTTTTGGTATTGAATCTGAATATTTCTTAAGCATCCGAATAACGTAATGGCTGTTAATAAGCTATATAGATGCAGAAACAGTGAAACTAGACACTGGCGCAGTAATTAAATCTGAATTTCCATGGTATCCTCAAGAAAACATCAATCATACTTTGTTGACGTTTTCTCGAGAGGAAGAAACAAAAATACAATTCACGATATGCAATCAATGTACTGATGAGTGCTCTAAACTAACAAATTCCAGCTCCAAAATGACGATTCGCCCAGCGTACCGGCCCAAGATCATCAAGAAGCGCACCAAGCACTTCATCCGTCACCAGTCGGATCGCTATGCTAAGTTGTCGGTAAGTAAATGGAATATAGTATAGTGAAAGACAAACCGTATGCCTAATCTCGGCCTTTATGTTGCAGCACAAATGGCGCAAGCCTAAAGGTATTGACAACAGAGTGCGTCGTCGCTTCAAGGGCCAGTACTTGATGCCCAACATCGGTTACGGTTCCAACAAGCGCACCCGTCATATGCTGCCCACTGGCTTCAAGAAATTCCTGGTGCACAATGTGCGAGAGCTGGAGGTCCTGCTGATGCAGAACCGCATCTACTGCGGTGAGATCGCTCACGCAGTCTCCTCAAAGAAGCGCAAGGAAATCGTTGAGCGCGCCAAGCAGCTGTCGATCCGTCTAACGAATCCCAATGGACGTCTGCGTTCTCAAGAGAACGAGTAACCTTAAGATTGAAGCGCTCTTTGTCGAGTTATTGTAACGTGATCGGAATACAAATTTGAAACGTTAAAAGTGAAAATCAAAAGTTTTTATTCCTTTAATATGTGCCACAGAGTCTAGACTAAAACTAATCTTACCGGCCGGCCCTATGAATAGGAACCACCTCTCTTTGCCGCTTCAAAAACGTTTATATATTTCGTTATCAGTTAATTATATGAAGAATTACACATGAAAGGGAATATTACTAAAGTAAAGTACAAATTAGTCTATTTTAGGACGACATCGTGATCAAATTGTAAGTGGTGCTCGAGCTCCTTTTTGTTTTCAAAGTTGGTGTTGCAGATCAAACAGAATCCACTGTTTTCGTCATTGTCCGACATGATGACAGTCACAGCCTGCTCCGATTCGTCCACATCCACATGAAGCTCCTCCACCACTTGCTGGTCGTCTGACGGAGCGTCCTCTCTGACCCCATAGACAACATCGCCTTCGTGGGTCTTCATGTGCATTTTGAGGGTATAGCGTTCAGTGAACGACTTGGGGCAAACAGAGCAGTAGTGACGGGGTCTGTTTTCTTTGTGTATAAGCGTGTGGTGGTTGAATGTCTTGCGCGACTTGAAGGACACATTGCAAATGCTGCAGATTATGGGATTTTCCTCGGCTTCGTGGCGGAGACGATGGTTGTAGAGCAAGTTGTCCTGGGAGAAGCGCAGTCCGCACTTCTCACACTGATATTTCTTCTTGTCCCAGTGCATGCGCATGTGCCTCAGAGTGTTGACGGGCCTGGAGAAGCTCTTCGGGCAATAGCGACATTGCTTCTCGGTCTTGCCCTCATGCAAGTTCATATGCAACTCCAGATATTCCTCATCTCGGCGTATGACACCACATATGGGACAGATGTGATTCTGCGTTGTCGAGTGGTCTTCATTGATGTGCTTTTGCATTTGGTACCACGAATTGTAAACTTTTCCACAGTGGCTGCACTCCTGCTTGGTGCGTTTCTTGGGTGGCTTATCATCCAGCTCGGATCTTTCATGCATGCCACCCTCCGACTCCCCCACGTCGACTTCGCAAACGAATTCCTCCTCCTCCTCGTCATCGTCGTACTCCTGCTTAATCTCTGCATCAGAATCTTCTTGGTCCTTCACAAGTTCCACAAACAATGCGTCGGCCACAGCATCGGCGTCGTTGTCGGCATCCTCCAGTGGCGCTTCTTCCACCACCAAATCCTCCGAGGGCTCAGGACTTTCAAACTCTGACTTTAGTGCTGTCTTCAACTGGTTCGTCAGACGCTTCTGTGTGGTCATTAAGTTAACCATTATGGTATCGTAATCAGCCAGCTCGTTGAAACACCGGGGGCAAAGTTTTGAGTTTACTGGCAATTTGAGACTTGTGTTTATGCAGTTGGCAAGATGGTTCAGCACCACCGAAATTGTCTTCTGTGACGACGGCACTTTCGCAGAAAGTTTCTCATAGCTGACGCTGGCGTCTTCCTCTACGTCCACGGCGCCACAAAAGAAGCACGTATCCATTTTCCGCAGAGTTAACCAGATTTTTGGCTCAGAATCTCTTTCCTTTCAATTGAGGTGGAAATTGTGTATAGTTTCAATAGAGTCGGAATATCGGAACCACGCCACCAACGAAAAATGCGCAAAAATACCAAAAAAATAATTAATATTGCAGAGTGACCGGAAACTGAAAAAATAAAAATCCCGAAACCGTGTGCTGTTGCAACATGCTGCGCCAAGGCCCTGCAACATGCATGAAAATTCGATTTTCGAAACATTCTGTTTTATTTATTTATTTTATTTTTTAATTACTTGACCTATATCTGGCATTTGTATTCCCCGGCTGCCACTGAAATATTTATTCTTATGGCTATATTAATTCAAGTTCAATTTATTCGGAGAATTTCCGTGAGCTGAAAACTTATAAGATCCACATCATTTGTTATGGAATTTGAAATGGTATAATTCTGTGGATTGGGTACAAGACAGTCCCGACTTTGTCTGACAAATGAGCGCTGTCTTTTGGATTTTGACTTGCAGCTACGCAGCAGGGTTCGGGTGGCATTGGTAATCTGTCTTCTCGAGCTTACATTAAATACAGAAGAGTCGTGGACGTTCTTGCTCTTATCTATAACATTGCGCAGCTTTGCCAAAACGGAGTACAATATTTTCAAACGTTTAACAATACGTTTGGGGTCGACAGGAGTGGCCAGGCTGACTACAGCAAGACACTCGCGCAATATCAGTATAAAGTCATTGTGCACGCGCTTCCCGTCTTCGCTGAGCTCAGAGTAGTTTACCGGCAGGCGAAAGTGCTCTTCCAAGACACTGCCCATTTGAACAATTAGCAGGTAGTCTCTGGGAGAGCTCTTCCCCGCTATGTGGATACTTTCCGCGAGCATGTCCAGATAGTTGTTGATGAGCGAACGACTGTCGATGATTTCGTGTATGAGATTGCGGAAAATCAGGATCTCCTCGTTGAAGTGGTGCTCCAGTATATCTGCATGGTGGAGGGCCGACGATTGCAGCGCTGGAACAATGCATGCGTCCAAGGACTCCAACGAGGCCAGGCAGCTACGCACAATTGTCTTGGTTTTGACGTCCTGCGAGAAGGCGATGGCCAGGACTCCGATCTGTTGAATGCGGTCCATATTCGTGTCGAAATCGAAAACTAGTTTCTCAGTTAATCCAGATTCCGATTCTTGCTCCTGTGGGGCATGCCTAAGCTTCTTGATGGGAGTATTTTTCAGCTCGACAAGACTAGCAAAGATCAAATGCAACAGAGCCTCATTCAGAAATGTTTCCAACCCATAGAGGGCACGCTCCAGCGACAGGGCTTCTAGCTTGCGATGACCCGGATTGAGATCCCCGGAATCCTCGAGGAAGGTAACGCATTCACTCAGCAATGTCTCGCACAGTTCTGATAGTGCCTTCTTGTCGGCTTCTAGGGCAACGTTGGAAAATGCAAGGGCATGCCTGACAATATGATTAACTATGCTGCCGAGCTGGAGCTGGTGGCCGTCATCAGTTTCATTTTCTGCCTCGATATACAGGATATTGGTGGCAGTATTGTTCGCGAGCCTTTCCATGAAGGCTTCCAGATGATCCAGCGCCAGGTCCATTAACTCAACAAATGTGTGATCCTCCAAGCTATTTGCTGCACCACTGCCGCTCTCCTGCTGTAGATCCAACTGCGACAGGGAGACATAGATCCGACGCACACACCAGTCGATTCGATCAAGGAAGTGCAGTCGGGTCATTGGCGTTGTCTCGTGCCCGAAGGTGCTTTCGATGTTGATGGTCCTTTCCAGCTGAGTGATGCAAGTAACAACCTGGGTGAGGCATAGGAAGATCGTCTCTACGTCTATATTGGTGCCGCCTTCTGGTGGCCATCTTGGGGCCACTTCTGGCAGGTGGGCTTTGAGTTTACTGGCAAAGTCCAGGAATGTGGCACAGAACTCATTTAGCCAGGCAATATGTCCTGCAGCGCATGCGGAACCTTTTGCAATCAACTCGGTGCAAATACTCAATTGTCGCAGTAAAGTTTCCATCGTGTGATCGCGTGATATGTAGACCGGAATAGCTGATGCTCTCGACTAAGAACTGAAAGGAAAGAGCTTCGTTTTATATATGCATGAAATCGCAGGTAAATAACAGATTAATTACCGAACCCTCCGAGGATTTGGAATACCCAGGTAGCCATTGCTATCCACAAACATCTGTCAATTTTATTGCACTCTGTCGACGTTCACGCAATCCAAGACAAGCCGTGAAATATTATTGTTATATTATTAAATCCGCTTTTGTACCTGCATCCGTTCTGTGAAAATTCAGGCTGAAGTCCGCAGCTTAGGTCTCTTTCTAGCATCTCATTCATTTTGAAGATCGGAATTTATTGTCCTGCCCAGAAAATCCTTGTCCAGGTGCTATACGCTATTCAGTTTTTTTTTGCTCTCTGCTTCTTCTACCCATACTTCTGATTCAAATCATAATTAGGTCTCCGTAATTAAAATATATACATATCGCCAAAACGTTCTTATTTATCGGTTATACTAGTGGTTCATATTCGACATCGCTGGTCAGAGAATCATTCGTTTGATCCTCACTTTATCTTCTGATGATTCATCATCTTATATGGTTATATGGATGTATTTACTTTATATATATTATTACTACATTGTGCACAGTCTAGAGTACACTACTTAGATAGCACTAGAAAAACATTCGGCTAGCCCCGGCTAGCTCCGGCTTACAATGCAATTGTAAACTCACACCAACTGTTTGTCTCTGGATGCAACTGGGAGACAGACTGGCTGGCCGGTTAGGATGTGGATTCTACTGGCAAATGGACACGCTTGTGCACCTTCAGGGTGTACTTGTCCACAAATGACTTTTCGCACTCTGTGCAGGGATAGCGCGGACGATCGGTTTGGTGGGTGCGTAGGTGGTGCTTGTAGGTGCGCTTGGTCTTAAATTGCTGATGGCACACTTCGCAAATGAGAGCGTTCTCCTCGGCGTCGTGGCGCATGAGATGGTTGTACATGAGCCACGAAAGGGAGAAGCGTTCCCCGCATTTGTCGCACTGGTACTTCTTTTTATCCCAATGCACCTCCATATGCCGCAGAACGTTTCGCTTGTGGGAGAACTTTTTGGAGCAGTAGCGGCACTCCAGCTCGGTCTTGCCTTCGTGAAGGTTCATGTGCAAGTCGAGGACCTCGTCGTCTTTGACCTTCAGGCCACACACATTGCAGGTGGAGTATTCGTTTTTCTGGCAATTGTCGGTCTTAATGTGTCTCTCTAGGATTTCCTGGCTCGAAAATAGTTCGCCGCATATGTGGCATGGGGCATCCAAAGTTTCGAATATCTCGGACTCAGACGACTCCATGCTCTCCTCATTGTCGGTGAACTGGAATTCCTCCGGATCTTCCTCAATCATTGCCTCCAGTTCATCTTTAAAGGATTCTGCGTTATCCTGTTGGGAGAATAATGTGTTTGGAGATTCCTCTTGTGCTGGCGTAGAGCTGACGTCGTTGTGGATTATTTTGAATGTTGGAACCTGCACTCTTGCTTTTGCGATCTCTTTCTTGACCAACGGCTTCGTTTCCGTTTTCTTTTTCCTGCATTCAAGCAAAGCATCCGCGATTTGGCGTTGCACCTGACTGAGATTCCTCACCAGCCGATCGTAATTGAACAGATACTCTAAACAGTCTCTGCACGCTACAGAGGCCGGCGTTAAGTCCAAGCGTTGATTGATTATTTTCTCAAAGTACTTTAATATATCCTTTATGGGCTTAAATGTTCCTGGCACAATGCATCCTGCAAAAAAAGTCATACTCATTAGCCCTCCAAACATTCTTATCTGGCTAAACGTGTCTTGCCTTCGATAAGCTGGAACACTCCCACGGCCTTTATTTTTCCGCAAACGAAGCAGTGCGGACGCGTTGCGCTCATCTCTCTCACAGTTTTTATTTACCTCACCGCCAGCTCAAAAGAAGTTTAAATTAAAAAATTCGTATATTTGTTGTGAATACCACTCAGGTCAGGGATGATAAACACTTGATATATTTATATATCGATATATATTTTTTGCTGATAATATACAAATACTTTTTGGCCCGGCGTAAGTAATATTTAGTTTGGCACATTAGCGGAAGTTTTGCGCAAATTGAAACTATTATAATAATTATTTGTGTGTTGTTTTAACGTTGTTCCATCAGATACACGACTTTGGATTCCGCGTGTCGGTATTTTTGTGCGATATTGCATATCGACTAAAATGCTGAAATCAGCTGCTACGGCACTATATAGAAAAACTTATAATATCTTGCAAGCACAGCGACAAATCAAAAGCAACACGCACAAAATGGCAGAGCTAGCTGCTATTCCTCTCGTGGAAATTGAGGACCAAGGCATTTTTAAATATATTCTCATAAAGGTGACCGGGAAAGAGACTGAAGACGGTTCTGAGCCCAGCAAACTGATTGTTCGGGGCTATGCAGACTGCGAATGGCATGGTAAGCATGGCATGGTTTCTCACATTTCGACATTTGTTATATAGCGCTGCTTATTTAATGTAGCGGATATATATGAGCGTACGCAGAAGATCTGCAAATCGGGGGCACTGGACACCGAATGCCTTGGTGGAGGACGTATTGAACATAACCCTCAAAAGAAGTACTTGAAGGTATATGGACATTCCACGGTATGTATTCTGTATCCGTGACATTAGATTAGATATTTGTTGCTATTCAGTTTTGGTTTTTGCAGGGTTATGGAAGAGCGGATCACTCAGAATCGAAACGAATTCTACTAACCAAGTACACGAACTACGAGATTGAAACTTCAGATGAAGGATATTAGGCTCCATTGCTTAAAATAAACATCAAAACATCTAAGGAGGCGGCGCCAGCATTTCATTGAAATGTAAATTTCATGGAAAGCCAGTCGATCAGTAGTGTGCAACTGTTCACATATCCCCTACATTACAAATTTGGAATCCTCTCAAAATTATAGTCAGCTTTTTTCACTATTCATAAAAAATGAAATATCTAATTACTTATCCCCGATTGGGCAATATGCCAAGCCACTCCGTAAGCCTAGCCTCAAAGTGAACGAACTCTCGAGGGTCTTTTAATGTTTTTCCCGAATTTTAGTACGAAGTTACACAAGTCCAGCCGCCAATCTATTAAAGGTACCAAGAGTTGAGATCAAAGATGGGAAACTTCGTTATTTATTGATCATGGTTTACATCCATGGTGATACGAGGCATGGCCGGACTGTCGTGCGTGGGTGGAACACTGATAGTCATGGTAAGAATGTTGCCAGGCTTTTATTTGGTTTCCCAGTTTTATTGCTTCGGTCTTAGATGATATCTACGACAAGAATGTAAGTGCTATGGAGAAATTGGGACTGTGTACCAAGTGTCTTGGCGGCGGAAGAATTGATAACGACGAGGGTGCTAAGAAAATTAAAATTCATGGAAGCTGTAAGGTATGCATTGAAAATGTTGACCTGTTCTGAATATAAGCTCACGATCGTGTTTGCCAATAGACCTTTGGAGCTGCTAACCATTACAAAACAAAGGATATACTACTATCTTCGTCCAAATACAAGAACTTTGATATCTCCGTGAAGAAATAAAAATGATTTTTTGAATTTATAATTGAAATATATATAAAATACGTATAAAATGAATTTTGGAGCTTTAAGCTCCAAGTTGGTGCTGTTCAGTGCTCCCCAAGGGGTGTGAGTTATATTGATATTTTCAAAATAGAGGTAACGTACCCGCCAAATTCGTTTCGCTTATCGTAAAAAAATACCGATATTATTTCCTAAGCATCGATAAGATAAGAGAAAATCAAAATTTTAATCCTAATCCCAATAGGGACATGAAACTGCACGAGGAAAAGTGTGTGATGTGTGGAATTTTTTTGTTCAGCCCCTTTTTTCGTAGCCGGCTATAAAAATGTGTTTTCATCGGTATATTTTAAAAAGAAGAAGGTATATTTCGGTATATTTCTGTGGGTCAGTCGATACATCCGCGGTCACTCTGCACACCGAGTAAATTGTAAATATTCGTAGGAACAGGAATTCGGTAAAAAATGAATTGTTGCATTTGCCAGTTTTCTGTGCGTGTTTCAAAAAATATACATACTGAGACAGTAGGACGTCCGCCAGTTCTTCTCAGTGAATTGGTTCTACAGTGCACAAAGGGCACAAATTACGAGCTGCGCGAGGAGGCGTCGACGATATGCAAAAAATGTTGTGAGAAGTTGACACGGTACCACAAGTCAATACAAATCGCCAGAAGGCTGCGTCTGGAGATCTTGGAGCTGATAAACAGTCCGTTTACCACAAAGAACCTTAGAAGGGTGGCGTCGAAGAGCGACATCCAAGTGGAGCACATCGACAAATTCGATGGCCATGGAGACGTGATCGAAGCTGAAGAGGAGGAGTACTTGGACCATGAAACAGAGACAGTCGAGACAGTTGAGGACACAGATACAATCACAGAGGAAGAAGAGGGTGAAGAGCATTCTTTCATTTTAAAGGATGCGATTTTCGAAGAGGAAGACGAGTTTCAGTCGGTCGACCTAGAGCTAGATATTGATAACGAGATCATTATAAATGATGTGGAGGCTTTGGAAGAAGGGGAAATGCAGCTCAACGAGGAACCAGGCGAAGCCGAACTATTCAAGGAGGAGACGATGAGTGATTTTGATGACCACCTAGAGAACACAATTGAATTTCTAGACTCAGATGTCGAAGATGACCAAGACCAGGACAGCTCGAGCGAATACACCGTAAATATTCAGTGCCCGAGTTGTCCCGAAAAGTTTGGCAGCCGGCGCGGCTACAATGCCCACACAAAGCGCGAGCACTTTCCTGGTTACGTCTGTGACCAGTGCGGGAAGACCTTGCAATCGTATTCCGGTTTCATTGGGCACCTGCAGAATCACGAGCCTGTCAAACAGTTTGCCTGCCCCGAGTGCCCCGAACGCTTCAGTCGCAAATTCCGACTGAAACATCACATGGCCTGGCACACCGGAGAGACGCCCTACCAGTGCGAGGTGTGCTCCAAGCGCTTTGTCCATAAAGTGGCCCTCTACAAGCACAAAATGATTCACGACAACGAGACGAAGCGGCTCGAGTGCAAGGTGTGCGGATTCAAGACCCGAACGAAAGCCCATTTGGAGCGGCACACGCGCTCTCACACCGGAGACAAGCCGTTCGCTTGCCCCCTGTGCAACAAGCGTTTCTCTCAAATGTACAACATGAAGGCCCATCTGCGCGAGCACGAAAGTCCTGGCACCAATAGACATAGGCGTTTCCACTGCCCCAAATGCACCCACACCTTCATCAACGAACAGAACTACGCAAGCCACGTAGAGCGTAACGACTGTACCGCCGTTTAGAGATCACATCGATTTGAGATACTTCACTTTACTTGGAGACTATTATTTAGATTACAGCATGTGGACAGGAGACAGTGGGGATGGATGCGAATCTCCACCACCATTCTCTCCGAATGAAATCAGTTCAATTATGTTCTATCCATGTAATGTTTTTTTTATTAAATCTATATGCATTTCACAAATAAAATATGTTTGATATAATAAATTTATCCGTTACTTGCATTTGCATTTTCATATTTCTGCGGTTATTTCAGTTTTCTTAAAAAAATATGTATAGTATGTAATGGTGTATGCATAAACTTATTTAAATAAATCATCCGATCCTGTTTGTGTATCCTGTTCAGCCTCAGCCTTCGGTACCTTTTCGGTACCTGTTTCGTTTCGGTTCGGTTCACTGCTGGGATCTGGGATCGCTTCGCTTCGCTTGTAAATAAAGGAAATGTGGCCTATGGATGGTTTAATGGACAATAATTGGTGGAGAGAGATTGACTCAATTACAAATACATTTTATAAATACATAAATTGTAAGTTCGTATCGTATGCTGTGTGTTATAGATTATACAAAAATAAAACAGATTATCTTTTGATTTTTCGTCGAGTTGAATAGAACCTTGTTAATATCATCATATCATAAAATGCACATTACAAAAATATTAACAAAATTTATTGCAGGCAGTCCGTAGTTAGTATAAAGGTAACAAATCCGAATTCAGGACAAACACATTAAACTCCTTCCTACATATACGAATTTAGTTTATCTTCTTGTGCAGCCTGTCTGTCTGTCTGACGTCCCCCCGCCCGAATAATCTCTCTGCCTTGTTTCAGAGCCCACTCAAACACTGCTGCTGCTTGGACTGCGGGAGATTTCTGGGGGGTAGCGTAGCCAGCCACACACACAAACGCATGCACGTAAACTTTATGCTCTAGTTGTGTGTGTGGGTGTCGATGATCGGTGATGAGTTTGTGTTTGTTGATTGATTCAAAAATTGGGGAAACAGAGCTACAGAAAAATACATTACTCCGCCATAGAAGAGTACTCGTAGTTTGTGATGCTTGCAAGAGTCCATTGAATGTATATAGCTTTTGATTTCCGGTTGAAGAAGCTGTATTACTTCTCAAATTCCTAGCTCCTAGCTCTAAGATGCGTAATTATACCTCAAAGCACCCACTCTCCTCCACTGCCACACGATTTGCCGCCTTAATACAAAATCTACGCTAAATGCTTAAACACTAATCGGATGGCTTGACAAGACCCATCGCTTTGTCTCCGAATAGGGGCAGTATGTCGGAGTCGTTAACAATCTCTTCCTGAATCACTGGACTGTCCGGGTCCTCGCAGTGCGTCTTAAAAAAGAATCTGCAAAAGGGTGATGTAAAATCATTAGTGAAGTAAATCATTAAGCCGAATTATAATTATAGTCCAAATTAATACCTAAAGTGACCTTTTCTGGGCAGATAGTCCTTGAATTGACGCAGGGTTGGCTGAGTTCCGGGTATTTTTATTCTGTACGGAACGGGCTCATCGCAGAACATAAACACGACGATCGTCTCTGGCGGCTTGGCCGGCAGAGGCGGGGGCGCCGACGATGTTGGCTGATGGGGCAGGGTGCTGCTGCTGCCGCCGCTGCTGCTACTGCTGAAGGAAGCTAGGGGCTGCTGTTGCATCATGTGGCTTTGTTGTAGCTGTAGCTGCGGTTGGGCATATCGACGAGAGCGCCGCGGCTCGTCTTCCAGTCTTCGTTTCGCTTCCTCCAGTTTTGAGGCCGTGCTTGAACCAGAGCGGGAGCTGAAAGTGATGATGGAAAGATCAGTGTACGCCCGTTTAATAGAGAGCTCAGTGGAGGAGGTAGCTCCTACCTTGGATCTTTGTACTTCATAACAGTATCGGCTGAGAACATGCTAATACCACTGTCTGTGTTCATGGAAGGCCATTTGTTTGTCAACTTCCTCGAGCAGGAACTGTGATCGGGCATGGATTTCGAGTGCTTCATGGAGTGTCCACCTATGGATTATTTGGGGATTATAAAGGTTGACTCTCTCGGTTGGATCTGATGGATCGTACTTAAGCTCATCGCCCCATCGCTGACCATGCCCGAGTCGTGGGTGGCTGTCCGTCTTCTCGACGGTATTGGCGGGCAAGGGGACATCGTACCAGGTGAGCGATGCGGCGTTTGGTCCTTCCACACACGCGACACATGCTGGTCCAGAATATCTTGGTCGTTGTCTTCATCCAGTGCGAATTTTTCCCGTATCGCCTCGGCAAAGGCCCGGTCACTGGCGCTAGATCTTTCGTTGCTCAACAGTGCAGCTCCAGGATTTCTCTGTAAAATAAGAGACATTTAACTAATAACTTTCGCTGGCTAGGTAATCTTTTTTCCTACCTCAAGGCGGGCCCGTTCCTCCAAGTCTCGTTTCCGCTTCACTTCCTCCAGCTTGGGTATCAGCAAGGCGACGAGCTCGTCCTCCTTTAACGGTCTGTGTTCGTTTGAATGTAATCGTTGTGTGCGAGGTATCACCTGAAAAAGGATGTGTGAAATGAGGGTTATAGCCGTTCAGGAGAATTCCCAGTCTCTGCGCTACCTGAAAGGTGTTTGTTTCCTTATTCGCCATGGCACTCTGGCGAATCGCTTTGCTCTCCGTCGAACTGTGTCTGCGTTGTATGTATGGCCGACCATCCCTGAAAGGAGAGGATCATTATTTAATAGAGCCGTTATGTCAGTGGGATTCCAGCATCCATGGCAGTGGTAGTGGCTCCTCTCTCATCTCTCGCTTAGCCAGACTCTGGGCTCTAGCTCTGCTACTCACATGGAACAACTGGACAGCGACATGGTGTCGGAGTCGGTGCGGCCGCCTGAGCTAACGCTTGCCCTTTCCGAATCAACCCGCGAGTTCGGGACATACGAGGTATTGGTGCTCGCAGTGTACACATAACCATGAGCTCTACTCGCATTCACATTCACAATCACAATCGCATGCAGATCGGTACAGTATATTCATGCCGTATAATGTGGATCGATCGGTCGTGTTTAATGTTCGTGTGTTCGTGGGGGTTGGGGGAGGATGGAGGTGTATCGTCAGAATCCACAAACAAAAAAATGATACAAAAACGAAAAACACAATGTAAATCATCAAGTCAACGTATCATACATCAGACGAGTATGCGGGTAGAAGTGGATCGGTGGATCGAGTGGATCGTTCAATGGGTTTGTGGCAGTCGCAGTCGTAAGGATATGCGTATGGCAGGGATCGAGTGGGCGTGTGCGTGCGTGTGTGTTTTGTGATCGTTGATGTACAACAATATCATATGTAAAAAGAAAAGTAAAAGAAACAAAAATTAAACAAATGATGAGAGTTAATCACAAGAAATCATTAAAAATAATCAAAAACTGAAGGCAAACACAAGTGTGGGTGTCTGTAGATCCCCTCTGATGTTTCTTCGACTTAAAATATCCCTGGGGATCGCCTAAAAACATACCCAGGAGGTCGGATTTCCAGTCTTCTTTTCTGTGTTGCTATTAGTAGGTCCCGCGTCAGTCGCATCGGGTAGTCGACGGGCACCCGACTGGCCCCCTCCTGCATCTGCACCTTCTCGAAGTCGTCGCACAGGGACAGCACCGAGTCCTCGTGCAGCGTGGGCAGCGTGGAGCTGCGGGGCAGTGTGTCGGTGGCGCTGATGGAGCCACTCGAGCTGGCCGAGGTCGAGGGACCGTACACACTGCCGCTGGCACTGCAGGTGCCAGCTGGCGGCCCGCTCACGCTGCTCACTGGTAGGTTGATGAAGGCACCAGCGGGCGAGACAGCAGCTCCGGCTGCCGTCACATGCTGCTTGGCAGCAGCCGACGGGAAAGCACAGGCGCCAGTGGAGCTGCTGCCGCAACTGCCGCTGCCACTGCTGCCGGCACTGCCCGATCCGCCCGTCGCTCCGCTGCTGCTGAAGCGCTCCTGGAGGGCGGACATTTGCTGGATGTACAGTATGTACATTTCCGAGCAGAGGAAAGTGGGGTAGATGTTGTCCCGGATGGTCGTCTCCACATGATGCTGCATGGGGTCGAAGATGTGCGGGCTGAGCGGGAGCTCTGGGTTCGACTTGATCGCCTTGATCTGCGAGCGCAGGTCATCAGAAATGGAAAGTTGACTCTTGCGCAGGAACCTGGAAGAGCACAACATACAGTAGGGGAAACAATCCGCAGATCTGTTGTCACTGTTACTGTCACTGTCACTGTCACTGCCTCTCACCTGTAAATGGCTCCGATTATCTGCTTGACCTTCTCCGGATCGGTCTGCTGCTTGAGACCCTCGCAGGCAAAGTAGAAGTTGAGGTGATCGTTGTAGGCGGGCGCCTCCTCCTCGACGTACTTCTTGAAGAGCTCGACCCCATCGCGGTCCTCGAGCAGATGGTTAAGCGTGCGGGCCCAGTTCAGGTAGGATGGCGGTGAATTCTTCAAAGTATCCAATGCTATCCCTTCGGTCATCTGTTGAAAGTGAAGATAAACGAATCCATGAGTGGTGGGTGGGCCCTGGATGGGGACCTGTGGAGGATGGGGATGAGGATGTTGCTTACCTTTTTAACACGGCTCTCTTCTCCGGGTACTGGTGGTCGTGGCCCACTACACTCATTATCATCATGTTTCCGGTGGATGCCCGACAAATGATGGCCACTCATGCCACACTCTAAATTGGCTTCGATTGTCGTGCCAAGCGCTAGCCAAAAGAACAAACAGCGAAGAACGAAGAACGCAGAACGGTGATGTGTGTGGGCTCCTGTCCTCTGCTTCCCTTCCCTTCCCTTCCGTTTCCGTTTGGTGGCTCAACTCTTGCTAAATATTTACCTATTCTTACGCCTAAGCTACTACGATTAACGAACGTTTCTCTGTATGAAAATCACAAACGCCCGTATTTTACAAATATCTGGGACATGGAAGATGCGCTCGTTTGCGAATTTGGAAGGCAATTAGACAAGGCCTGCAAAAATGAGGAAGAGTAAACGAGTAAAATGTTAATTACTTTATTTATCTGTCGGATTGTAGGCTTATTCTCAGTACATGAGAACTATGGCTATGGGTTTATTCTTATTTCTGTACTCCTAAGCAAGTGAGAGAGTGTACACATTGAGAGCCTCGTTCAGAGAGGATATTAAGATCCCCGGATAATAGATAATATTTGCCCTAGGAATATTTTCAGGCACAAACCCGACATACCTACAAG